AAATATACATAAAAATTGACGAAAAATAAGTCAATTTCAACAAATTTATGAATACATTTCAAAATTTTAAATAATTTTCTCTAAAATTTACATACACTTATTTTAAATTAACCAATTAATGTGTAATGCACGCTCACTCATTAGTATTGTTACTCCCTGTATTAAATTGGCTACCAAAAAGCGACACGTGGAAGATCCACTGACGTCATCAAAAGGGTCAGTCTGAAACATATGAAGAGGCAAGGCAATAAGATTATAAAGTGGCTCCAAAAGTCGAAGTCCTTATTTTGACCAAGGTACCATTTAACTAGATGAGTATCGAAGCCCTAACGAAGGGTCTGTGCCCAAGTCCTCATGTTCACAAACAGCCAAGACCCTAAAAGATGGAGCCGAAGTCCCTGTTCTAGCCTAGATACCATTTAACCAAATGAGTATCGAAGCCTTAATGAAGTGCTATGCCGAAGTCTGAAGAGGCTACCATGTTGGCTATCTTGACGAATATCTTTGTAAAAGACTGATTAGACGTCTACTTTATCTTATGTCAAAAGTATCAGCCTAAAAGTATAGGGCAGTTGGCTTTTTTCAATGTAATAAATGCATGTGTAAGAAAGATGTAATGTATAAAAGAAGAGGGGAGGAGCACATGGTTTGGATTGAACGCCACCATGTCTTCCCCAAACTCTATATATAACCTCCTCAAAAGAAAGAGGGAGGGTAAAAACAACACAAATTTATAAGAAAAAGAGAGAACCCTAGAAGAAAAATAAGGAACGGGTACATAAATTTTTGGAGAGGAAAATAAATTCAACTCCATACATTTCTTATCATTCATTTGTTCCTATCTTGCTTTCTTTTATCATTTACTTGCAAAAGTTGTAGTAATGTTTGGGTAAGATTATCACTACTGGTAAGAATGTCAACAAGCCGAGCTGGCTCGAAAGTCGAAACTCGAGGTCAGGCTCAGGTAATATGAGCGAGCTTTTTTCATTGCCTAAGCCGAGCTTTTGCTTGACAAAAAAAATTGGGCTTAAAAATAATTTGTTCCAAAAAACTGTTAAGACGAATCACTAAGATTTTAAAGGATCAATTCAATTTTGCAGTGAAAATAATTTTGCAGAAAATATAAAAAAATCGAACCTGAAGATATGTTTCGCCCTAAAAAGGTCCCGATGTTCAGTCTTGCGACATAATCACCCGTTGAGTATCACCAAATGTGATATAGCTCAAGATCCCTAAGTATTAACCAAGTGCCTTATTTTCAAATAAGGCAGCGTGTTGCTGCGTTTAATATATATATTTTTAAATATAGGCTCATGAACCCGAGCCGACGAGCTACACAGGTCGACTCGAGCTTTGCCCAACACTCCAAAATGAGGCTCAGTTCGAGCCTTGGCTCGATTCTCCCGAGTTGAGTTGGCTTGAGCTTTTTTGGGGCCAAGCCACGAACGACCGAGCCTAATTGCCATTCCTAACGTTGGTGTAAAAGTTTTTGGTCACTTCGTCGGCCTCTAAATTGCTTAGTTTCACGTCAAGTGGGACCAAAATCTATTGACGTCGTTTTCGAAGGTCAACAATTTAGCATCGTCTATGGAAATCACTGGGAATAACTAAACCACAAGTACCTCGTGGGATAAAGCCTTTGAACAAAAGGTAACATTCTTGAAAAAGAGCGATACGAGGCATGGCCGAGGTGCTAAAAGAGGCAACTCAAAAGGAATTCTACTAAATCCTTGAGTAAAGGAAAGCAATCCCAGGAACAAAGTCGAAAAGTGGTTATTTGTAAAGGAGGTGCAGCCATGAGTTTAACAGAGCACGAAACTGTACCTAAGCGGACTAGAAAACGCCTCGATGAGGAAGCATCCTTGTAAAGAGCCCCAATAACCTAGGAGCCATGGCCAGCCGCTCTAGCAATTCGCCATCGAAGAAGTGGCTCGAGGAGCAGGTCAGTAAATTGGCGTTGTTCCCAACTGTTTGTACTGAAACTTATCAGGTCGTAACACAATTTTCTTTCCCCCAAACAGAAAGTTGTACGTGTTGGTATATCCATAATGTAGTGAGTGCCTGTCAAACTGCCACGACCTTCCTAACAGTAAATGACACGCATCCATCTCTACTACATCATATAAAACCTTATCCTTGTAGGTAGGTCCAATGGAGAAGTTGATTCGAGCACGTTGAGACACTTCTACATCATTGCCTCTTTTCAGCCAGGCTAATTTATACGGTTTGGGGTATTTCTCAGTCTGCAAACCCAGCTTCTTAACGACCTCCTCAGCCACCACATTCTCGCAACTACTAGAATGAATAACAAATTTACATACCTTCCCTCTATCAGTACATGTCGATTGAAAGATATTATTAAGCAACCAATCAGTGTTATTCTCCAAAGGAATCAGAAAACTCATCCTCACCACCAGTGCCTGACCCACATCACCAACCACAAACTCTTTCTCTTCTGCTGCTTCTTCTATGCCTTCACCGTCAAATACAGGCGGACCTTCATAATCGCCATTCCCCTCATCAACAAAGAGTCCCCTGCGCGAATTTTTGGAGCACTCAGGCTGCCTATGGCCTGTAACTTCGCATCCAAAACAACAAGTACCAACCCCAGGGCGTGTTGGTTGTTGGACAGGATTTGTTCTAAGAGGACTAGATTGAGTAGGATTACCAGGACGTGTCACTTGCTGTTATGGGTTACTGGACGAACTTTCTGCAATGAAAAGACTAGTAGTTCTCCTGGACCGTTGCTTCTCTATTTGTATTGCCCTCTGATATGCTTCAGAAACTGTCACAGGATCGAACATATTGAGAGTATCCTGTATTTGGGGACGAAGACCACCCACGTACCGTGACACTAACTACTCCTCCATCTCCATCATCTCGTTCCTCGTAATCAACATATAAAAATCCGTGGTATAGTCACTAACCGTTTTCCCACCTTGACGCAGATTTTGCAGTTGTTGGTACATGGTCCGCACATAATTGTAAGGCAGAAACTGTTTTTTCATATGCTTCTTCAATTTATCCCACGATGCAAGTTTGGGTTTTCCTAGCCTGGATCTCGTCACTTTAGTCTGCTGCCACCACGCGCGCTGCTCCCCCACGAAGCCTCGTTGCAACGAGAAGCACACATTTATCGGCAGGAACCTCTTTAAACTCCAAGATATCCTCCACTGCAGTCACCCAATCGAAGAATTCCTTTGGACTCAACCCACCATGAAATTCTGGAATATCAACCTTAAATCCTGATTCCCAACATCGGTTGTCCTCCTGACCACCCCTTCTTCGGTGAACTGGCAGATCCAATGGTTGTTCAAGCGGTGCAAATAGATTCTCATCATCGAAATCCTCAAGCTGTGTGGCTACAGGGGCAGGCTGCTGCGGCATAAGCGCAGCGATCTGCCGTGTCAGCAATTCCACTTGTCGACGTAGCTGTCCGATTTCATCACGTCTATGTACTTCCTCTACCGAAGCATCACGGACTTCAGGACGTCTCCTTGGCAGCATGGTGAAGGAACGATTTCGACTCTGATACCAACTGATATAGCGGAAGATTATAGAGAAGATGAACAATCACAAAATGAGAAAACTCTCAAGAAATTTTTTATTGAATTCAACAACTGCCGCCTCAAAGGGCTTACAACACCTTAAATAGAAAAAACTTAGCAAAATTCGGAAAATAGAATTAAAAAGATATTTTTTCAAAAATAGAAAAATATGAGATAACTACTAAGATGGAAAATCCTTATTTTCAGGATCATCCTCCAACAAACGGAATACAAATCCGAATTTTATGGAAAGAGATGTTGCAAAAACAAAAATTACCATAAATAGCAAAAACGCTTAAACGAGGGCCTAAACGATGAATTTTGCCCAAAATTGGCCTTGCATCAGGGCCAAAGGCACTGAGTTTTATTCATCGGCTCGATTCCAATCGAATTATACTAGCAATTCGCAAAAAACGAACAAACTCGAAGTTATCATGAAATCAAAAACTATTATTTTGCCTTACGATGATCCCATTTCATTATAAACTCTAATTCCTTATGTACTTCATCAGATAGTGGCGATAAATTAAAGTGATATTGCCTCATTGATATTTCAGAAGCACTACGTCATTGAGGCAGTAAATCAACTCTTGTACGAGTTTCATGAGTTCTTTCGTTTGATCAAAAAAATAATTTGTCCGTTATCATAGGAATTAGATTATGTAAAATATCTATAAAATAATAATATTGGGATCGAGAAAAATTATTATTCTAAAGGGACTATTAATTTATCGATAAATGATTATTTATTAATTTATAAAGTGTTTTATATTTTTATTACTTATGTTATATTTTGCCATAATACATGTAGAATTTATTTTTATTTTTTAAATATTGAATGTGGAGAAACTCAAAATTTAATCCATAAAACACAAAAAGGCATATACATACATACATTAAAGAGGATACATCAATGAACAAGCAAAGAAAAAAGCGAAAAACTTTAGAGTTATATTATATTTTGAAAAAGAGGCAAATTTAAAAATTAAACTTTTGTTAATTTGTATGAGCACCTATTTTTATGAATTTAAATAATTATTATTTTATATATTCGGTGGACTTAAAGGATTTCAAAAAAATATTTATTATCTATGTATTTAACGGAGTTATTAATTTTAAACACTGGTTTAAATTAGAATTGAAAAAATTTATTATTTAAATAAAATTAATAATTTATCAAACATTCATTTATCAAGATTTTACTATCTATCAGGATTAGTTAATAATTCTAGGAGTCAAATCTAACCAAATCGATGAGTTGGTTCAACTCAAGTGGTTCTAAATAATCCAATGCCCCCTATCTGAGGGCATATTAGTCAATTTACGCAATACAATCTTAAAGTGGTTACACATATGGCAAAGTTGTACAAAAAGGCTGTGGATGGATATTATCATCCCTTAATCAGTTAATTAGAAAAGCCAAATGCATCTATTCCCTCTCTAATCGTCGTTTAACATTCCGTCCATTGAAGAGAATCACAATACGCATCTTTCATAGCCCTAATTTATTAATGACATCAAATTATGAACATCAAATTAGTTAATTCCACCCACGACATCAACAAATTTGCAGCTACAAGAAGGACCCACAAAGTTAATCCATTTTTGTTTTCTTCTTCCTTACTTTATTATATATCTTGATTTTATTATCCTGCGCTGTCTCTTCCTCTCTCTCTCTCTCTAAAATGAAGCACTGTGAAGAGGGTTGGCAACAATTCTTGAAAAAAAAAATGAAGGGTTTGTTTTTAATGGGATTTTCGGGCTAATTCTTGAAGATTGATGGATCAAAGAAATGAGATTTTAATGGTAAAGCTTGTTTCTTTCTGGAGTTTCGTCGAGATCCGTTTTTGTTCCTCGTTTAATCCTCAAGCACCAGGTACGGCTGCAGAGATGTCCTCGGAATTTAACGTTTTTATATACAAACGGTTTAGCTCGATTGTATAAATTTGTTGTAATTATGCATTTTTTTGTTAGTTCTAATTGTTTCTGGGTGAGTGTTATTGGCTTATCTCTTGCTTTCTAACTTTCTTGTTTTGATAATTTTCCTTTTTCTTTTTTGGTTTAGTACCTGATAGAGTGGCTGTAATTTGTTAGATTCCGGGATTTTTACTGATATTATAAATTAGCACTAATTCTATTTTTATTGAGCAAATGATCAAGAAACTCTTCTTGTCTATTGGAGAGTTTTATGAATAACACCTTCTTCTTTTTGTTATTTATATACAGTTTATGAACGTGAGCCAAACATAAGCTTAGTTATTGGACAGAGGAGCTATTCTTAAGTGCTAGATTATGATTACTTATATAAATTTAAGGAAGAACTAAATTATTGAAGTCCAAACTTCGTTACCATATAGAGATATTAACAATTCGTCTGAAATAAGAGCAATTCATTGTGCTTGAAACCCAGCATCAATATTATGATTTATAGTGCATTCTTGAGGCTACTTTCTAATTATATTACCTTCTTCTATTATTATCCTTTTGCATCGTTTAAATTCTGATTCTTCTTCAGACCACACGTGTTAATTCTAATTAGTCATGTTTTGACTTTTGACTTCTATAAACAGGTCAATGGACTTAGACTCCGTAAGTTGCCTTACTAATAGCATTTCTCGATTTATTCACCTGGTAACATGTCGAATATCGAAGAGTATCCCTATGGAGAAGGATTACAGGAATATAACTTCTTTCTTGAAGCATTTGAAACCACTACTTGATAATGTCACTGATCATAAGGTGCCTCTAGATGAAATTTTGTGTAAAGAGTGCGAAGAATTGGATTCAGCTGTCAATGAGGCTAGAGAATTCCTTGAGAAATGGTCTCCGAGGATGAGCAAGATTCTTTGCGTGAGTATTCTGATTGGATTTGGCTTTGTTCTTTCTATTAATGTAGTTTAGCATTTGAGTACTGAACAGTAAAAGTAATGTGTAAGCATGTTATACCAATTAAATTCAGCTTTTTGTAATATAATGTGGATGTCAAAAAAAGAGCTTGACACTAAGCTTCCGTTTGGCTAATTTATAAATGATTTAAATCATTTATAAATTAGCCAAACGGAAGCTTAGTGTCAAGCAGTCAAACTTCATTTTCAACCACAAATTTTAATAGATCCACAGTACTATCCACTTATTCCCCACTCATTCATCTCTATTTTTAAAATAAACCATTTATAAATTCTTCCCAAATGGAGGCTAATTCAGTATGCTTTAACTAATCTATTCTTAACTAATCAGCACCTCCATTTGAATACTAAGAGTTCTGGAGAAGAAATTGAAAAACTGATGTGATGTACTTATTTTATCCTGAATTTTTATTGTTTTCTCAACTATGTTACAAATCCAAGATAAGGTGGGGATAATGTTATTTTAATAGTTTTACAAGCTTACAGTTCTTTTTCTTTTATTATTTTATATTTTCAGGTTCTGCAAAGCAAGCACTTTATCCTGAAAATCCAGATATCCTCAGTGAAGATATCTTCTATTTTATGCGGACTAGTTGAATCATCACCGTCTTCTTCGAGTCTATCTGCTGCTCAGGTAGGGATACAGTTGGATAATACTTGGTTCACTATAAAAGTAAGACTAGTACCTAGCTCAGGTAAGGATCATCTGCCCCCTAGCCCCCTCTGTGGGAGGGTAAAAGCAGTATGCCACTACTCTGTTTCAGAAGTCTGAAATAGAGGGGCAAATTTGGATGAGAAACAAACTGAAGCTTCACCAGCACTGTTCTCGTCTCTATAACATTACTAGCTGGGTTGCTCTTGATAATACTCGTGCATCTGATTTTTGTTTATTTTTTTTTCTGTTTCAGTTCTGTAAGCAGGAATCTCAAAATCTGAAGCTAGACAAAGTATCAGAACTCATAGAAGAGATTTTTAGAAGCCAAAATGAAGGGGTGACTCCTCATGCTGATTTTCTCATGTCAATGGTTAAGACCCTCAACCTGACCTCAAATCAGGAACTCTTGAGTGAGTTTATTGCATTGGAAAAGGAGAGAATGAAAGCTGAAGAAAATCAAACAAAAGGGGATTTGGATCAAATATCTCGTACCATTGAGTTTATGTCCCACATTCATGATTGTGTGGTTAGGCTCGAGAACTTTGAGGCCGTGAATGGCATTCGGATCCCCCCATATTTCCGCTGTCCTTTATCTTCGGAAATCATGCGGGATCCAGTTATTGTTGCTTCTGGGCAAACCTATGAGCGGGCTTCTGTACAAAAATGGCTGGATCATGGATTAACAACTTGTCCCAAAACTGGTCAAAAACTCGCACATACCAATCTTATCCCCAATTATACAGTTAAAGCTCTTGTAGCAAATTGGTGTGAGGAAAACAAAATAAATGTCACCAACCCCCCTGGGGGTACTGATATTGTCGTAGTTCAATCTCAATCTGAACATTTCAATCCCTTAGATGATCTCCAATGTCCTTTAAAAGGGATAAATTCAACATCAAGATCCTCTTTTGAAGCCTGGCATGGCTTTGAGAAGCTGAAGGTCGATGGTTCTTCTGGACCCAAGGATGAAAGATTTGGTGTTTTGGGGGACAAAGCGGCTGAAAAGTTTGACCACTCATCCCCCGAACATTCATATGTACACAGTAGGAGTGAATCGGCATCAAGTGCTGTTTCCAGCATTGATTATCTCCCTTTAGCATCTACTGATACCTCTAGGATATCAAGTAAGCAGGATGATATGAGTGATAGATCAAGGGATACAACATCTAGTTTTCCCACACCTTCTAATTCAAATCGAAACTCTGCAAAACAGTATCACAGCTCAAAAACAATGGCTGAAATGGCGGTGAATAGAAAACACAACCCCTCAAGAGCACACTCATTTTCATCTGAATCGGGTTCTAATGCTTCGACTTCTACTTTGCATGTTGAAAAACTCGTTAAAGAGTTGAAGAGTGAATCGACCGAACTACAGACAATGGCTGCAGAAGAATTACGGTTTCTTGCTAAGCATAACAATGAGAATCGTGTTGTTATAGGCTGCAGTGGGGCCATTGCTCCACTAATCTCACTGCTACACTCGGATGTGAAGCTAACCCAAGAGCATGCAGTCACTGCACTTTTGAACTTGTCAATTAATGAAAAGATCAAGGTTATGATTGCAGGAGAAGCTGCAATTGAAGCCCTTATCCATGTTTTGAGGACTGGAAATGCAGGAGCTAAGGAAAATGCTGCAGCTGCTCTTTTCAGTCTCTCTCTTCTGGATGAGTACAGGAAAAAAATTGGCCGATCAGGGGCAGTTAAAGCATTGGTTGATCTTTTAGGATCTGGTACTCTGAGAGGGAAGAAAGACGCTGCAACTGCCCTATTTAACCTATCTATCTTTCATGAGAATAAGGCTCGTATAGTTCAGGCAGGAGCAGTGAAATATCTGGTGGGGTTGATGGCCCCTGAAACAGAAATGGTTGATAAAGCTGTAGCTCTTCTTGCAAATTTGTCTACTATCAAAGAAGGATGCTCAGCTATTGTTCGAGAAGGGGGTATACCATTACTGGTTGAAATTGTTGACACGGGATCTCAACGAGGAAAGGAAAATGCTGCCTCGATACTTCTACAACTGTGCATTAATAGTTCTAGCTGCTGTCGGAGTGTTCTACAAGAAGGAGCTGTCCCACCTCTTGTCGCGTTGTCTCAATCAGGCACTCTAAGAGCGAAGGAGAAGGTATGTAACTTCATTTAGTTTTCTTCTTTTTCTCTAGTTTTCCTCTAGTAAATCCAGATATATACAAATTTGCTGCTATTTCCCCTATGTTGTCTTTTGGAGCAGGCACAACAGCTTCTTAGTCACTTCCGCAACCAGCGTGAGTGCGCTGTGGCGAGAGGGAGGCCGTGAAGAAGAAATTTTCATTCATTCATTCATGTTTATTTTGCCGCTGCTCGTGTCCACCTTAGTTAAAGCTTCGTCGCCAGCAGTTTCTCAGATATCAAGGTTTTGAACAATTATTCTGTATCTATTTACGTGACATGCAAATGGGGGTAGATTTGTTTGCTTTTGTAGCTCCAAATTGGCTATAGCCTGTGATGTTTAATCTCGTAGTTCCTTTGGTTTTTTGCTTTACTAATGCAAGTAGTTCTTCCATGTTCTTAAAGCTCTTGTGATGTCTTTTTGTAAAAGCTTGTTCGTTTAGTTCAAGATTGTACGAATCGTGACAAGTAAAATAATGATAGGTAAATTATCGTTCCTACAAGGACCGTACTCATAAGCATCGAAATTAAGAATCTTAATTTATTTGAACTACCAATTTGAGAAGAGAATTTTATCTAATTAAACTAAAGACTAAGCTCCCTTTTGGATAAAATTCTTGCTTTCTGGTTGCTCCTCATTTTCGTCTGTATCGTTTAATCAAGTTCCTACTAACATTCTTTTGCTCAATTCACCTGCATGTCAGAATTTTTACTTATAAAAGCAATGTATACACCAAATTAAGTAAAATTTTCTCCAACAAGCAATATCCATAAGTTCAGAAGTCCAATATGCATGGAAAACACCCTTATCGAGTTTTTACTAGACTCAAGTACTATGTCCAATTTCTTATATATGTATAATTGTGGATTTTAGGACATTCACTGAGCAAGTGTTATCCTATATTATATGAATTTAAATCAACTCCTCCATGTCCCACTTTTCAGTTTTCAGAGAAATCAACATCGACATAGGCTGCCATATTCCTCCTCCTTGTTGGGCCATTGTTTTGGTTTTCTCAAGTGCTGGGGCTTATTGCCAAATATTTTATGGTCCAATGGGTATTATATATATCAAACTAAATAAATAAAAATAAATAAATTATGATACGGTTTATCTAGCTACTCGAATATTAGATTGTTTTATTTGATAACTTTTTTATTTTATTTTATTTTATCTCCCACACTCTTTTAAATAAATTATATTTTACTTTGCTTTATAACTTTTTCCTATTTTTTCATTGCATTTTAAAAAATAACACTACTCAAAATTTACTTTTCAAAAGTTTGTCAATGGTAACTTTATAAATACAATTATTTAAAAAATAATAATAATAGAGAAAAAGTTATTACACTTTTATAAAGATTCCTACAAAAGAAATATGTGGAAACCACGTTCATAATGAATTAATAGATTACAATACATTTATTCTTTACGAAACTTCTATAATTATGTTTATCCAAATTGGGGAATACTCATGTTTACTACACGTGTTTAATAAAAAGTCAAGTGGTCCAGAGACTTGAAATGGTTTGTGAAAGACACGTGCACATAGCACACGTGCCTCCTAAACAATTGAATTTGCGAAACAATTTCTAATTCTATTCTCTAGCATGCTTTTATTTTTTGTAATCTTTTTCTGGAAAGCTTATCCGACTTAATGATCTTGAGATTTCTACTTTTAATGCAGTATCATTACACTCTTCATGTCTTTGATACTGAATGTCAATTTACGATGAACGTCAAGGGCCAAATGTATGGTCAATAACAAGGTTACTTTGTTAGTTGTATTTCTCGAGTTGTCACGGATGACAAAGATGGTGTATTTCGTGAACAAATTTAATGATCTTGAGATTTCTACCTTCCTCGTGTATATTATTGCACTTCTAACGTCCTCGACATTAATATCTTTGCCTATAAACATTATTCTCACATTACCATCATTAGAAGGTTGTGGTGAGCGTCAAGGGTCCTAATGTTTGGTCGGTAACATCTTTAACTGCCTTTCTCAAAATTTCACAATAGATGAAGACTGTATTTTTTGAACAATTGAACACATTCCAAATCTTGCCTTGGATTTTTGGAAAATGCCGAGGTCCTGTTCGAGGGGCAGAGGTGGCAAAGCCTCTGCCCCAGATTTTGATGGCGGGCTCCCCAAGTGCAGAAGATCAACGGTCAAGGTGTTTCCACCTCGGCCCTGGATTGGAGCCTGGGATTTAAACCCGGGCTCTGTAGCATGATTGTGAGTTTTTAGATAAAAATCTAAAATTTGATACTATTCTTAGCTTTGATAGATTTTCCCAAGCCTAAATGATGATCTTAGACTTGAAATCCTAGGGATTTTGAATGTCTAATGTCTAGATAGTACAATGCTAGCTTTGCTTTCTCAAGAACAGATGAGAAATTCGGGCAAATTTTACCACTTTTAGTGCTGCCCGGACATGGATTGGAGGAAAATTTCCAATCTACGGGTACTTTATTATACTTTCTATGTGCTTTATTTGTCCTTTAAACCACTATATTATTTTGTATCACAAAACTTAGATTCAATAATCCATGCCTTTGTCCTCTCCATTGGGAGCACCATAATGTCAACATATTTTTCCCTAGTAAACTATCAAATTTTGGCACGTTGTGTTGTACTATTTTATTTTAAAGTTTAGTTACGAAATGAGATAATTTAACGCGATGGGTAATTATATTAATATTAACAAGAAGATTATTGTTGAATAATTCTACTTTTTCAGCCTACTATGTCCAATTGTAAATTCTGAGTTCAAAGTCTACCATTTGGTTTGCAAGATTTTCAAGAAGCACCACTTCTTGCTACAAAAACATTTATACAATTAGTATCTCAATAATTCAACACATTAGTACGTTTATAATAATGTAAAGCATGCAAGATTAGAAGTTCATATTCATGTATCTCCTCGTTGGGAATTTAGATGAATTCCTCTATTGAACCAATTTTTTCCCAACATCTAGCCTCATCACAATTAAAAAATACCCCAAAAAAAAAACAGTGAAGCTGTTGCAAATTTTCTTTTGACATGATATGTGTTGCATATATAACTCCATTATTATGATAATAAAGTTTTAGCTTTTGAAGATTGGCTACAACAATTATTTATTTTCTAATTAACACTTATAGGTTTCATGATATAATTGCATTTCTTACTCTTCATAGAAGTCCCAACTGTTTGAAAGTCTTCAATGACACCTTTTGGTTAACTGTGTCATAGTTATAGCCATTGTGACTTTTTACCTTAGCTAAGATACAGGTAGGCAACATGTAATTTAAGAGAAACAAGCAAAAATTGTATAAAATTAAAGAAAGTAAAAATAAAAACACTGAAAATTACGAAGAATTCTTCTTCTTCTTCTTCTTCCTCCTCCTTTTTTTTTTGGTGGAAAATCTTTTCCCATCTCTAAGGCTTGGTTTGATTCAAATTAACTCTTCTGAAAACTAGTACAAAAAGTGAAGTCTGAAGATTAAAACTAAAGACACATCAAAATTGTTGGTTGCATAAAAGGTTTCAGAGAGCGGGGTATTTTGGCCAATATGCATAATAATTGGTGACACAAAACGCTTTGGGTAAAGAAATGAAGTGTGTTTGTTCTCTTCAATATTACTCTATCCTTGAACCTTTTTCCTGTCTTCATCTCAACCTACTCTCTGCTTCTTTCCATTTCCATAAAAGCCCTAATATAATTCCCCTCTCTCTCTCTCTCTCTCCCCCCACCTCCAAGAAGAGAAAATTAGGATTAGCAACAGTTCGGTTATGGATCAGTTCGGCCAAAATCATAACTGCACCACCAATTTTTTGATCATACCATAACCGCACCATAACCACGTAAATCAGTTCGGCACGGTTCGGTTCGGTTAATAACCACGAAAATAAATTAATTTTTATAGATTTATCCGTCAAATTGATATAAAACAATTTACGAAAAAAGTTAATGAAAACAAAAATACAATATTCCAAACGAAAATGCAAATATTATCAAACAATATTCCAAACGAAAATGCAAACATTATCCCAATTTTCAATTGTAAAATACAAATTTAATAAACAATATTATAAATATAATAATACTAAACTTTTCCTTCATTCTTAATTGTTGTGCATCGAAGTTACTTGATTCATTCTTCT